GCTAATTCGAGGCCTAATTCTACTCATAACAGAGCTGCTTTTTGTCGTGTTCTCGCTATTGTTTGCGAAGCCAAGCTTCGCCATTGTGTCAAAATTTGTTCTCATGTTTGCCTATATTACTATGACTGTTGAGTAATTTATAGTTTTACGTCAGATCCTTTTATCCTACAACGCAGAAAAAACTACACTAATTTGAAAAAAAACTCATTTTTCTTGTAGTTTTTAAAGAGTATAGTCGCAAAATTTTGCGCTACTTGCGCTTTAACCGGCTATTCTTGTTTCAGTTTTCCTTTTTTAATAGAATGTTTTCAGAGAACTGATTTCTTCCCGATATAATGAAAAATCCAATGTTTCGGAAGAAAGAAAATATGGATTCTTCGAGTATTGTTCAATTCGGACTTTCCGAAACATAGTAAACATCTGGATGTACTCCAAACATGCAGAAACGAATTGATTTGTATCCAAAGAGTTTTTTGGTCTCAACGAGAGCCTCAAATAAAATCGGATTCGTTACAACTGCGTAAATTTTGTTTCGAACGATTTCGAAAGCCACTCATTTTTCAAAGACTCGAAACATACAGTAATGACTTAATCTGAACCAGTTCGTAAGATCAAGAGCAAATGATGATTATGAATTTGAAATAATATTTGTTCCGACCATTGAAAATGGGAAGGACTTTGTTTTCGGGTGTGTTTAAATTTGTTTGTTTTTCAAGCACGCAATTCAAGTACCACAAATAGTAATCGGACTGGGTTGAGTGATATACCAAATAAAGTAATGATAACTGGTTAAATTGGTCATATAGGCTAAAAACACATGTGTTTTTTCCAAAACGAAACTCGTTTTGAAAGCTTTTTTAGGCACTTCCGTGGCCGGAAAAGCTTTCTAATTTTTTTTAATTGTGCAAAAAAATAGATTTTTTGTTTGTTATTTTTTTTTGAAAACAACTGTTGTCGATTTTGAATAATTGTCTTATTTTGTACGCTTGTGTATACTTTTATCATCCCATCACCTACAAAAAACGACGCTATTAATGAGTAAGAAACGACGCTAACTTTAAGCTTTTATGAATATGGTCGGAACATTCTGACTAACTACTGTTTGTCTTGACAGCGTACCCCTGTTTTATAGTGGGTGGAAATTTACCAAGGTTGATTCTGTATAACTTCATTTTTCTTGTAGTTTTTAAAGAGTATGGTCGGAAAATTTTGTGCTACTTGCGCTTTAACCGGCTATCCTTGTTTCAGTTTTCCTTTTTTATTAGAATGTTTTCAGTGAACTGATTTCTTCCCGATATAATGAAAAATCCAATGTTTCAGAAGAAAGAAAAAATGGATTCTTCGAGTATTGTTCAATTCGGACTTTCCGAAACATAGTAAACATCTGGATGTACTCGAAACATGCAGAAATGAATTGGTTTGTGTCCAAACAGTTTTTTTGGTCTCAACGATAGCCTCAAGTAAAATCGGATTCGTTACAACTGCGTAAATTTTGTTTCGAACGATTTCGAAAGCCACTCATTTTTCAAAGACTCGAAACATACAGCAATGACTTAATCTGAACCAGTTCGTAAGATCAAGAGCAAATGATGATTATGAATTTGAAATAATATTTGTTCCGACCATTGAAAATGGGGAGGACTTTGTTTTCGGGTGTGTTTAAATTTGTTTGTTTTTCAAGCACGCATTTCAAGTACCACAAATAGTAATCGGACTGGGTTGAGTGATATACCAAATAAAGTAATGATAACTGGTTAAATTGGTCATATAGGCTAAAAACACATGTGTTTTTTCCAAAACGAAACTCGTTTTGAAAGCTTTTTTAGGCACTTCCGTGGCCGGAAAAGCTTTCTAATTTTTTTTAAATGTGCAAAAAAATAGATTTTTTGTTTGTTATTTTTTTTTGAAAACAACTGTTGTCGATTTTGAATAATTGTCTAATTTTTTACGCTTGTGTATACTTTTCTCATCACATCACCTAAAAAAAACGACGCTATTAATGAGTAAGAAACGACGCTAACTTTAAGCTTTTATGAATATGGTTGGAACATTCTGACTAACTACTGTTTGTCTTGACAGCGTACCCATGTTTTATAGTGGGTGTAAATTTACCAAGGTTGATTTTGTATAACTTCATTTTTCTTGTAGTTTTTAAAGAGTATGGTCGCAAAATTTGGTGCTACTTGCGCTTTAACCGGCTATCCTTGTTTCAGTTTTCCTTTTTTAATAGAATGTTTTCAGAGAACTGATTTCTTCCCGATATAATGAAAAATCCAATGTTTCAGAAGAAAGAAAATATGGATTCTTCGAGTATTGTTCAATTCAGACTTTCCGAAACATAGTAAACATCTGGATGTACTCGAAACATGCAGAAACGAATTGATTTGTATCCAAACAGTTTTTTTGGTCTCAACGAGAGCCTCAAGTAAAATCGGATTCGTTACAACTGCGTAAATTTTGTTTCGAACGATTTCGAAAGCCACTCATTTTTCAAAGACTCGAAACATACAGCAATGACTTAATCTGAACCAGTTCGTAAGATCAAGAGCAAATGATGATTATGAATTTGAAATAATATTTGTTCCGACCATTGAAAATGGGGAGGACTTTGTTTTCGGGTGTGTTTAAATTTGTTTGTTTTTCAAGCACGCAATTCAAGTACCACAAATAGTAATCGGACTGGGTTGAGTGATATACCACATAAAGTAATGATAACTGGTTAAATTGGTCATATAGGCTAAAAACACATGTGTTTTTTCCAAAACGAAACTTGTTTTGAAAGCTTTTTTAGGCACTTCCGTGGCCGGAAAAGCTTTCTAATTTTTTTAATTGTGCAAAAAAATAGATTTTTTGTTTGTTATTTTTTTTGAAAACAACTGTTGTCGATTTTGAATAATTGTCTAATTTTTTACGCTTGTATATACTTTTTTCATCACATCACCTACAAAAAACGACGCTATTAATGAGTAAGAAACGACGCTAACTTTAAGCTTTTATGAATATGGTCGGAACATTCTGACTAACTACTGTTTGTCTTGACAGCGTACCCATGTTTTATAGTGGGTGTAAATTTACCAAGGTTGATTTTGTATAACTTCATTTTCTCATGTTTTTATGTCAGTGATTTTATTTCGACTCAGTCGCTTCATATTGCATTAGTTGACGAGAGAAATAGTTTCTTGGTGTGTCTATGTATTGGAACTTAAAAATTTGGAGTTTCAAAATATATCGTAGCTCATTTTTTATGCAAATAAAATTTTCGGCTCAATAAGCGTCGAACAGATTATAATCGTCTTAGTTCCCACCGCGTAAATTATAATTTGAAGTTATTCGAAAGCGACTTATTGTTTCGACGGCAACTCATTTTCAGGCGTTACTCAAAACCTACAGCAATGAGTTAACACTGACGATTGAAGTTTTAACGCTGGCATTAGTTGACGAGAGAAATAGTTTCTTGGTTTCTATGTATTGGAACTTAAAAATTTGGAGTTTCAAAATATATCGTAGCCCATTTTTTATGCAAATAAAATTTTCGGCTCAATAAGCGTCGAACAGATTATTATCGTCTTAGTTCCCACCGCGTAAATTATAATTTGAAGTTATTCGAAAGCGACTTATTGTTTCGACCCCAACTCATTTTCAGGCGTTACTCAAAACCTACAGCAATGAGTTAACACTGACGATTGAAGTTTTAACGCTGGCAATTGACTTCCTTGTAATGTTTTCCTCAAAATAAATTTATTGATTGCAAAATAAATTTTTTTCTTAGTAGTTATTTTTTGTCACTTTTTTTATTTCAAACGTCTTTTACTCACGCGGCTTTCGTCTCATTTTTTTCGGCGAGTTGTAATGTACCGCTGTGCTTCTCATTATGATTTCAGACTTTTTTATCAGTTTTTTTTTTCAGTTTATCAGTTTTTTAATTGTGCAAAAAAATAGATTTTTTTTTCGTTTGCTTTTTTTTTTTGAAAACAACTGTTGTCGATTTTGAATAATTGGCTAATTTTTTACGCGTGTGTATACTTTTCTCATCACATCACGTACTAAAAACGACGCTATTAATGAGTAAGAAACGACGCTAATTTTTAGTTTTTATGAATATGGTCGGAACATTCTGTGCTCTTTGCACATCAACCAGCTATCCTTGTTTTCATCTGTTTTTATCTGCTTTTGAGTCAAATCGGAACCTAAATTTTTTTTTCAGGAAAGCAATTTAGTTAAAAGAATCGCTGAAATATTTGTGCTGACATACTCAATTTCTGGAAAATTCAAATTAAACTACTGTTGATATTCCTTGTAACTACTGTTTGTCTTGACAGCGTACCCATGTTTTGTAGTGGGTGTAAATTTACGAAGGTTGATTTTGTATAACTTCATTTTCTCATGTTTTTATGTTAATGATTTTATTTCGACTCAGTCGCTTCATATTGCATTAGTTGACGAGAGAAATAGTTTCTTGGCGTGTCTATGTATTGGAACTTAAAATTTTGGAGTTTCAAAATATATCGTAGCTCATTTTTTATGCAAATAAAATTTTCGGCTCAATAAGCGTCGAACAGATTATTATCGTCTTAGTTCCCACCGCGTAAATTATAATTTGAAGTTATTCGAAAGCCACTTATTGTTTCGACGGCAACTCATATTCAGGCGACACTCAAAACCTACAGAAATGAGTTAACACTGACGATTGAAGTTTTAACGCTGGCAATTGTCTTCCTTGTAATGTTTTCCTCAAAATAAATTTACTTGATGACAAGTTAAGATTTTTTTCTTAGTAGTTATTTTTGTCACTGTTTTTTATTTCAAACGTCTTTTTACTCACGCGGCTTTCATCTCATGTTTTTCGGCGAGTTGTGATGTACCGCTGGGCTTCTCATTATAATTTCAGACTTTTTTTGTCAGTTTTTTTTCTTTGCGACAATTTCAATGACGATTTTAGGAAAAGACGGAATCATTTTAAAACCTTTTTTTCTGATATCACAGATTTCCAATTTTTATAGCTACTCTGCTCACCAAACTTCCCACAAAATGGTGCTACCAATCAAACAGTGCCTGGTCTGGGAACACCAGATTCGGTTCCTCCTAATATGGGCTTGACCTTTGATGCCACCAGTGGGATGCTGAACAAACAACCCAAACTGCTACCTCCTCATATCTGCTCGATCTGCGGGGACAGATCGTCGGGCAAACACTACGGGGTGTTTTCGTGTGAAGGGTGCAAAGGCTTCTTCAAACGAACTGTTCGGAAGTGTCTGAGCTACACGTGTAAAGATAATAAAGATTGTATAGTGGATAAACGACAGAGGAATAAGTGCCAGTACTGCAGGTACAAGAAGTGTGTTGCGGTCGGCATGCGACGCGAAGGTACGTGATCTTTCCAAATTTTTAATAGTGCCGGAAATAGAATTTTTAGCGAAGATAACTACACCCAAACAGTATACGAGAAATCATGTTCACTTGATACTAGCCAGAATAATTTTTCGACAATTCATGATGTGAACAATTTAGTCAAATTTGTTCGTTTTAGAGTCATTTGTTTGCTTGATTTTAGAAATCCCATTAAATTCAAAAATCTCGGATCATCTTAAAAAATTCATGCTCTAGGAGTTCAAGAGGAGAAACAGAGGTCTTCCAAATCTTCAAAAGAATCTAAAAATTCAACCAATCAAAGCGGCAAAGGCAGTCCAACCTCCAGTCATTTATCACCTAGCGGATCTGACGTATCATCCAATCACGGGCGAGCGTCCAGTTTCAGCGGAGACTTCAACTACAACGACTTGATTCCAATTGACAAGATGACAACAATGGAACGGAAACAACCCGATTTGGGAGAATGTCACGTTGAAATGAACGTCGAAGAGACTCAGAATCGATCCGTGGCATTCATCGTGAACTGGACAAAATATTTGCCTCATTTCAGCGATATTTTGATCGAGGATCAGATTATTCTTTTACAGTCAGGTATGAGGCAAATCTTCGTCGTTCGGATTTTTCGATTAACTGGTACTTAAATGTCGATTAACTGTTTCTTAATTGATTGAAAATAAAAGTTTTCCCGTTAGTTTATCTGCTCTCAGTATGAAAATTGAGATATTGAATCTTGAGCAATGAGTTCATAAAAAATTTGGCATTGGTTTCATTCTTTTCTTTTTTCTTCAGCTTGGACTCAGTTGCTGATATTGGATGTCTGTTTTCACAATTCGAAATACTTCAAGGGCATCTACAAGCACTACGACGACATTCCGCCATGGTCTCTCAAAGCTTTTAAGTGAGTACAAATTCAATTAACTGCTAACCGTTTTTGATAACTTGGAATAGCTTGATGGGTAACGTTGCGATGTTTTTCACGCTCAAGCAAAAGTCATAATGGACCCCTTGATTCCTTGGTTATAGATAGCTATTTCTTTTCGGCTTCCCATTTTTCCTTTCATTTTCTTGGTCTTTATTTTCAGACATATTTGTGAGCTGTCTGAGATACTGTATGGGATGTCTTTGGATATTTCGGAAGTTGGATGTATCAAGAGCATCATGATATTCAACCCATGTAAGTTGTGATCTAATCAATAAGATGGTTGTTTCGTTAATGGTTTCTATTGTCGCATAGCGGCCGTTGGCGGGTGGGTCTGATGCGTGGCCTTTAACACAGAAATTGTTGGGTTCGAATCCCAGTTTTGTCGTGGTTGGAGGTGTAGCGTATTAGTATGTTATACGACAGATTACACGAAGTTTTCCTATTTTTTTATACGCACCTTGCGACTACACGACAACTCGTTTAATTCATGCGTTATACGCAAATTTCAGTAGTTAGAGCCTATTCTTCTTATGAATCCTAATATTTGTTTCGTATGAATCTTAATATTTTTCTTAAAACGGCTCGTGGGCAGAGCAGAGCAATAACTTCTTAAGGGCCTGTACTTTTGCAGAAACGCAATCTTTTTGGTCGAAGTTTTTTACACTAGCCAACTTTACGGTTTTTTGATAGCATATACTTTGACATTCGAATAGTAATAATTTAACCCAGTTAATAGTTTTAACACTAGCGTCAGCTTAGTGTTTTATTACGAACCTTCTTTTTACACTAGCTTCAGCTTCAGTGTGTTATTACGAACCTTCTTTTTTTCTAACCTAACTCGCAAATAAAATTGTTTTTTTTTTATATTTGAAATCTCACTGTAGCATTGGAACTTGCATGGCATCTGTTCTCTAATTTATTTGTTGCTAGTGTTTAATCTTCTATCTTCAATTATTTATTAAGCTGCTGTGGCTGAGTGGTTAGTGTGTGTGTGACTCTTGATTTCAAGGTCGCAGGTTCGAATCTTAGACTAAGTCGAATTTTTGCTAATATGAAGCTTATTACTACTTTTTCTTATTGCACTTTAGAAAGCTGCTTTTTGTCATGTTCTCGCGCTAGCGTTTGCGAATTGCCTCTGAGTTAAATTCATCAAATAAACCGAAAAAACATAGTTTCAAACAACATAACAACAATAAAAACTCGATTTCAGAAATTTTCTAACACAATATATCTCGCAATTTTTGAAATGCATATTAAATTTTGAAATGCATATATATTAAATGTGGCTTTATGCTCTACAATTTATTGCATGAAAAATTAGTGTGGATGCCTTCAGTTTGTTATGTTCCAAGCTATTACTTGCAAAAAGTGTGTCCATTTGTATTTGGTGCCACTTGTGCTGCATAGCATTGGCAATCTGTTAGCAAAGGTAGCTGCTTTATTTGTGGCTAGTGTTTACTGGTTAACTTATGGTGACCAAGAGGGCAGGGCGTGAGACTCCAGGAGGTCGCAGATTCGAAGCCCATACGCAGCAAAGTTTTACTAATTCGAGGTTTATTTCTATTTTTTTTTATTTTACTTCATAAAGCTACTTTTTGTTGTGTTCTCGCTTGTGTTTGCGAAGCGCAGCTTCGCCACTGAGTAAAAAGTGTGCGCAAACGCTAAAAATGGTCTGTATGATGGAAAACGCTGCAAAAAGAAGACGCTGCACGTTATAAGAACATACGGCTCTTTTCCGGTTCATTCTTTTCTTTCTAATTGAGGTTTACAAAAGACTATTAAAAATGACTATTCATGTTCTAAGTTGTAAGAAAAATCATATCAGCGTTGAGAATTGAACAAAGTGTTGCAACCTTCTTTGCGTATAAATTACCGTATAAAAAAACTTAGACAACCTTATTTTATGATTTTAGAAGAGGCGAGAGAAATTGGAAAAGAGGCGAACATAACTGTTATGCGATTGTGCGTTATGACGCAAGCCAAGCATAGTGTAATAGTACGAATCAACTTCTTTTTTAAAATCTAATTCCTAAGAAAAAGTGCCCAGTTAGTGGTACTTATGGTTTATTTCCTGCCATAGGCAATTTAATAGCATCTTTTGCTTGTGTATTTGTGGCTAGTGTTAATTAACTTCCAAGTGACGGTAATGCAGATGCAAGGACGCGAGACTCTTAATCTACAGTTCGGAGATTCAAATCAGGAACCTTGAAAAACTTTTAGTTTTTTATTGCCGATACTTTTGCTGCGCAGCGTTGCGAATTAAATAGCAATTTTTGCTACTTTAGTAATGGCTAGTAGAGATATTTTAAAGAGATCGTGCGCAGAATCGAGAGCGTGAGACTCCTAATCTCCAGGTCAGTGGTTCGATTCCGGTACAGCAAATGTTTGATTTATCAAGGCTGGTTTTCACCATTTTTCCCCTTCTCACTTTAATTTTTTAGAGCTTCTTTTTTTAGAGCTACTTTTTGCCGTTTTCTTGCTTGTATTTGCAAATGCACCTTCGCCTCTGTGTAAAATAAATGTTTTACGACAATAAACTGTCCAACTATAAGTCCCAAGGTAGCAATAAGAAAGCAGGGCTGGGGCAAATTAAAAAAGGCCAAGTTCGGTTAAAGTAGAAATTATTTAACAGTCCCCCACAGATATAAAATCAAATTTACTGTGTATCAAGGGCTTTTGCGAAGTTGTATATGAAGACAAAATATGTATGTACTTGGGTAATGATCATGCATGTCAAAATTCATGACAATTGAAAAACGTGAAGAAAAGTTGAAAAACAAATATGAAAAATTGAAGGCGATGAAAAACATCCCAGAGATTCTCCTCATGGTGAATAAAACCTAGAAGGTTGATTTGTGCTTGATGTAATGTATCCTTGTGTTAAGATTTCCGAGGACTGAAAAAGCCGGTTGAAATCGAGCGACTTCAGGAGAAGTATGTGAAGACATTACGAGAGTACGAGCTGAAGAAGGGAAGCTTGGCCAAGTTCCATAAACTACTCTTCCTTCTCAGCTCTATCAGATCTACTTCGTGGAAATGCATGGAGAACAATTTGCTTCTCAACTTGCTATCATCCGAAAAGTTACGAGAACTGTCAACACAAAAAGACGATCTGAGTGATTTCGAATCTTTTTACACCGACGTCAAATGCAATGAAAGGGAGCCTTCAAAATAGATGAACAATTTTGCTAGTTAAACTCGTTCATTAATTATACATCAAATTCGATATTTTGCAGAACGAAAAAGTTGAGACATTCGATTTTTTCGAACGATTACAGAGTTGATATTCAATATCTTTTCACTGCAAAAAAAAATCCGAGACAAGCGTTTTGCTGCAACTGCCCTCGTTATTTAAATCCAGGCCAGAACAAATTGCACAAAATCCTTTTGTTTAATGTAATATAATTTTATTCTTTTTAAAAGCACAAATTGCTTTCTAGTATTGTGTTCAAATGTTCATATAGTTCATAAAAGAAAAACTCAAATTCAGATATGTTATCTATTTTGATTGGAATTATAGACAGTTAATTTAAAATTTCTTTTCCAAAAGTTTTTTTTTCAAACGAGTTACATCGATTTATTTTATAAGCAACACAAAATGAATGTCTAATTTTAAACGCATAAGTTTCAGTGTTCGTCTCAGAAAGTCCTGATTGGTCCTAAAACTTGGTCCATTCTTTTCTCGCGTTTAGTTTTTGGAATACTGAATGATGGTTGCTTTGTTTTCACATTTTTCAAGTTCGGCAAGTAGTACCCTGGAGCTGGAGTTTCCTCTCGTTTCTCCCACAACATCGTGCGCTCTCGGATCCCGATAACATGAGTCGGCGACTTCTTCAGCATTTGAGAATCGGATGTGGATCTGTCATATTTGATACTCGCTGGAAAGAGTGCTGCATCTTTGCTTGTGAACAAACTGCTCTTTTCACGCGTCACAGTAGGCATTGAGAAGCTTGGAGCGTTCTTGGCAATGGAGGATTCTTTGCCGATGTACAGAGTGTCTTCATTTGTGTATTGGCCTGGCGCTGGCCAGTTCAACTCGTCAAACCTAAAAATATGTAATTGAGTTTCCCATGCTTATGGCAAAAAGAGCCCTGTTCAGCGATAAAACTCTTTCTGTAATGTGGGGAAATAGTACAAATAGGATAAGAGTTTCTCGGTGATTCGTCGAAACTAAAATTATTTTCATTTCTCGGACTCCCAGATAAAGCGCTGGCGGATAAAATCCCCCAGGACATAATCCACCGGATAAAATCCCCCTGGACTAAATCCCCCATAGAACCACCTCCCCCTAGAATAAAATCCTCCAGTTTTAAATTTAAACTTCACCACATTCGAACTGAACAAAAATGCGACAGTAAAAGTTAAATTAAATGATGAAAGACAATTAACAGAAAAGAAATAGATAGATTAATGACTATAACTCAAAGGCCAAGTTAAGAGCTTTCGTTTGAGATAATCCAACTCTGTAGATAGCGACAGAGCATAAAATTCTTTTTATCCTTTCAAAGTTATCCTCTTTCCTTGCGTTAGTTTTTTTTGATTAGCTGCATTTGAGAGAAGAAAAACTTTTGCAGTGACTCTTTCCTCTGAATGAGTTCAATGAATTTCCATATATCAGGGTTTGACATTGGAGCCTGGATTCAAAACCACGGTGAAATCCTTCTAGGGCAATGTTTGTTCTGGGGTGGTCATCGATGGCCCTGAAGTAAACGCTCCAAATTTCCATGTCAAATCGAGATTTCTGCCTGATTGAGTTTCGCGTGTCTTTACTTACTAAGGTGTCCTCAAAATAGTTCTTGATGTCGTGAGGAAATTTGCAACTTTCAAGTATTTGGAGCATTACGAAGCAGTGGACAGTGCATACTTGATAGAAGTTATCAGGACAGCTTCTGAAGGTTCCGTCGAAAAGGCACCGGCGCTTTTAAAGATTAGGCCAAGGCAGGGAAATTGTCCATTATTTCAGTATAGGATAATACAACTGAAAATTTTTTCTATATAATGCGGTTATGTGCAAGTTCTTGCATTCCAAATAATGTTGCTTTTTTTACATTTTTTCTAAAGTTCACTGTTGACTTGCGCTCTATTAGGTTTTTGATCCGTTTGAAATTTTTAGGGCTCTTTTATAGAAAAAAAGTCTTCTTCTTTCATTTGCGGGAGCAAGCGACTTAATACCGAGATTTTTTTCCCGTAATCAACTTTTCTTACAAGATCTGCTGACACGCTCAATTCTGCGGTTACGGTCGATTTTGCTGACATGATCAACGGCTGACATGCACACTTTTTTTTTAAATTCAAGTAAAATTAACTTTTAGTTCGTTTGAGGTAATTATTTTCTTTCAAATTTTTTTTGTTAAAAAAAGCTTAACTTTTTTGGACTTGTCGTTTTTGTTTCACTTCTGCCGGCTAATTTCTCGTTGTCTTTTTCCAAGTGCAATTGATTTTATTGTAGTTTACCAACTCCTAGTTTTAATAAGCTTACCGATTTTTTTTCGGTAAAACGGGTTCGTTTTGTATTATACGGATTTAATTTATTTATGTTGCGAATTTACTAAGGCTGTTTTTAGATACTTTTACCTGTTTCAAGAGGAATTGGTTGTAAAAATTTCGATTCATAAAATTTTATAGCTCGAGTTTTTATGACTGCAGTTTCGTATTGACTGCTTAACGAGGGTCGACTCAAGTTTTTTCGCCTTAGTTGCCGCTTGATCTTTGACTTTCAAGGGTTGCTTAGGCTGTTTTGAACCTCATTCAAGTCAAATGTTCGAAATATTGTAGGTGTATATATTTTTCATTTTTTTCAAGTAGTTTTTTGCCTTAATTTTTGAAAAATTATAATAATCAGGAGTCCAAAAGGTTAGTTAGAAATATTTGAATTTTGGTCGAATATAGAGCGAATCAAGCGAGTATAATTTCGACCGCTCGCTATAGAGAAAAGGCATATAGACAAAAAAACTTTTATAGAACAAAAAAAAGTTTTAGAAGCTTCATTTGGCTCTCCTTTAGCAATAAACATTTTATTAAAGTAAACGGTTTTAAGATCTTAATGCAAAAAAAATCAGAACGTTTTTTGCATTTTTGGTGGCAATTGCTGCTGTCAAATTCGCATAATTTACTCATTTGTACCCGTTTGCATAGTTAACTCATCACACTACCCACAAGAAACACCAAAAAGTTGTTTGAGGAATGGGTTGTTTGAGGAAACACCAAAAGTTATTTGAGGAACACCAAAAAAATGTTTACTACAATTTGTTCACTTTTTGAAAATTCTGACTTGCGATTACAACAATTTGCGCTACGTACCCACCAACCGGCTATTAGCTTTCAACTACAATTTTGTTTACTATGTTGACTTCTTTTTTGTCAATTTTTGCATGTTTTTGAGAAAGGTAATTGTATGCTTCACAGATTCAAGTTCTTGAGCAAAATAAACCTGAGCAAAACAAAAAGCTTTGGAATCGTTTTTATTTCTCGAAGCTTCACTCCTGACTACGCGTTTTCTTTTTGCCAATCACCGATGCGTCGCCGTCACTCTTAGAGTGTTTTTCAACTGAAATGTAAGTTTAACTTTTGAAGCTGAAATTTTGGTATACTGCAGAGTCCGCAAAGGTTAATCTGATCAAATCAAAAATAACTGTGACGGCTTTACAATTTCATCCAAAAGTTTGCAAAGCAAGTGTAATGAAGTGTTTTTGCGATTTAATTCCATGAAAAACTTGTATTGTGTCAATTACTAAGTTTTTTCATTGCTTTTTTAGCAATTACATAAAACGATAAGAGAAATGTTTGGTGAGAAAAAATGAAAAATTTTGAGCGATATTACTCATACTAGATAAAATTAATTGAAAATAGCTAGCCTGATCAAAGAGTGATAAATTTTGTTTTGATGGCGCAAAATAGTCTGTATATCATAAATAATTTCAGAACTGTTCTTGCTGTGGCAACATCCTTGCAACCAACGCAGAGACTTTGAATTTTTGGTCTCAAAATGGTTTCTTTGGGTAGCTGATGAGGTTGACCTACTCTACTCTTTGTGCCGCGGAAAAAGAACCGAAAAAAGCATTGAAAGATTGAATTAGCCTGGCGTCAATAAACCGCCGTATATGTTTTCACGTTAGGGGGATCAAAAAGTTATGGGCGCTTATGCAAGAAAATTGGACAAAATTTAGAGACTAATTTAATTAACATTAAGAGTAAGTCAATCTTATCAAAAAACTGTGATTCTCAAAAAGGTTGTGCCAAAAAAATTAACGCTTTGTGTTGTTTGCGAGCATGCTTTAACAGCTAGAACAACTCTGAAACTAGTTATGATATACTGACTATGTTACGTCTTCAAAACAAAGTTTCTCAATCTCTAATCCGGCTAGTTCTCGATTGGTTTCGTCTAGCGTGTGTCAAAATTTCACTCCTTTTTCGAAAAGTTGCAGAATATAATGAAAATGTGAAGAAATATTCGTTTATTTACTCTTCGAAATCAAAAAGTTGCAACTTCTTTCTCCCGTGGCTTTGCTAGCAAAATGTGGTCCTTGTGTCCGATTGTAATGAAGTTTTCAATTTGATTTAACTAAAATTCTGGATTTTCAAAACGACTTTTTTATATTTTTTGGTATTTGTTGAGTGCTACTTCGCCTCAGTTGTATCTGAATTCGGTATCTTGCCTGGTTTTCTTGGACCATGCATCGTGTGGACTGAGGAAGAAGCTGGTCTCCCAGGAGGTCCTCCCACCACCTCCCTTCACCCTGTCTCTCTCTGCAATCATAAAGGCAGGCGCATGGTACTTCATCACATCCACACGCGGTGTGTACGAACTGGGACCTAGAACAAATTACGTTATAGCAAGCTAATATTTTGTCAAAGTAAATGGTATTTTAGACTATTAGTAGTTGACATATTTTTTTGCTGTTTAGGCATTAAAAGCCTGAGACTTGCCGAAAATCTTGGTAACTAAAACGTGGAATCTGAACAGAAAAAAAATAACATGAACTTGACCTTATTCTTGTTACTGAACTGAAAATTGTTGCTGAACTTTTTTATTCATATTATTGAACTGAAATTTGTTACCGAAGCCTTGGTTGAAAAAGTAACTACAACCATGAGCTCAACAATAAGTTGAAATTTGAACTACAATGAGCTGAGTCAGTTTGCTACAAATTCGGCAAAAATTAACCAGATTCAACACGGGAACTGACAGGTGGCTTTTTGAGGGCTTTAATTTTTGATTTTTTATCTATTACAATATTGATATGATAAGTCATTCATTTATTGGTTGCTCTATCAATTCTGTAGCCAATTTTTGCCTTTGCTTGCCAATCAAGGTCACTGACCTGGCGGTGTGCGGTTGCGCCTCGTGGTCGGCTCTTCTGTGAACGTCGAAGTCTTCTTCCTATTCGAGTCCTCCATTCTCTTAGCTGTCACCCCCACATTCGACATCCGCAGAAAATTCATAGGCCTCCGTCTGTCTACCCTGACTGCGCTTGTCTGTTGGTACATGTTATTCAGCGATCGAAACGAATGATTCTTGGTTCTGCTGCTATCATTTTCTAGACAAGGATCTCTTAAATATCTCCACCTCTATTGCTAAGGTGCGTATTCTTAAAAAAATAAACGTTGGTATATTTAAAACCAGGGGCAGATTTACTGGTGGGAATAATTTTTCTGTACTAACATTGAGAGGGTAGCTTACTCGCGCGTGCAAAAAAATATTTATTCAAAACTTTCCAATGCGACTTCTTAATGGGCATTTTCTTAAGCTTATTTTCTCCAAAATTTTCCTGCAGCTCAGACCTTTTGGGAGAATTAGTGTTATTTTTACAGAGTTTTTGGCGAGATCGGACTTCAATTTTTTGGCCTTAAAAAGAAGCTATGTTTAAGTGATCATAAAAACCCCTCCGTCTCTCGCTAAAACCTTAGATCCGTTTCTGTTCTTACCTTTTGAAAAATTATATCTTATTGGGTATTGAGGATTCGTTACCAGGTACCATAGGGCACAAGCAAATTATTCAAGAGATCCCTGGATTGTCTTTATTATCATCCAGGTTTGATTTGGCTTTTTTCTGTGGAACTGATTCGATTGGTTTCGGACTCAGGGTGGGCTCAATGTTCTCTTGCTCTTCTTCATTGAAGTCTTGTTTTGGCTCTTTTCTGCTCTCTAATTGGACTTTCAAAGGCACATCACCATTGTTTTCTTCGTCGTCTGCCATGCTGTTCAACTCAAAGCGTATATGTTACAATACGATTAGCAGCAATTTGATGTGTGCATGTTTGCATTATTTAACTCAAAGAGTGTGTTATTGTCAATAAGTATTTTTCTTCAGCTGACCTGAAAAATTTCAAGTTAGTCAAGAAAACCGACAATTATAATCTGCTCGATGTTTTTGTCTTCGGACAAATGTCGACTTTTAACTAGCAGTTTTTGACCGAGTTTTTTCTACCATCTAAAAAATAAAAACTCACTAACCTCTGACCTTTTTTTTTCAGGAAATTGAAATGACGCGTGAGCGAGGGATTAAATTGACTAAGAAATCAGTCCAAATTTTAACTTAAGCAGATTTAGCTTTAAGTAAAAGATTACTAGATGCAAAATATATCATTTTGTACCTTACATTTTGTGCGAAAATTGTTTCGAAAAAATTTGAAATATATTTTCTTTCAGATTCATTTTTTTGTTTCTTCAACTTTTAAAATCAAAACTACTTGATAGAAGGAACAGGGGATTTTCAAAAAAAAAATCCAAACATTTTGTCGACCTTTTTTTAAGTCGACCTATTGATTTTCTGAGCTCCCTCTAATCACTACAAAGACCCCATTTTGACCAAATTTTCTGCAACCCATACAAAATTTTGAAAAAAAATGGGACAAAAAAAATTTAAGGCCTTTTTGGAAAATTTTAGGCTTACTCATTCAAACTGGATATCTCAAAATAGTTCATAGGGGACCCTTTGAGTCGGCACGAAGTCTAACCGATTTATCAACAAATCACATAAATGTTGAAGTGTGCACCAACCAGTCGAAATATAAATCAACCGAAAACAAGCGCAGTAATAAACCCAGTCATAAATTAATTTATTTGAAAAAAAAGATTTTGTGCGAAATAGGCGGCGAAAGATCCTATATATCAAAGTCAGCCATATATTTGAGGTCTTCCTCGCTATGTATTAAAATAGGGCATAGGTTCTGTAAAGTATTAAGATAAAGAACAGAATTGGTAGATTTTCAATGTGTGTACCATGGTAAAACGATAGAAAGTGAGGTTTTGTTTGTGGTTTCTTGGTGAAAATCTCTAGTTTTTAATATCTGTATCCTATATCTAATTGTCTAATCTAATTAACTTTAGTTCTAATTATCTAAATGATCATGATAATTGATAAAGAACATGATTTACTTGTGTTTAATGTAGAGTAACACCATAATTCTATGTTTCTTTGTTACTTGTTAAAGCAATGAAAAGAACTCTTGTGAAGCGTGCAGAAAATGATTTTTTTTTGTAAAAAGTCAAAACACGATGTAATTTGATGTATATTTTTCGAAATAAATTTAATCGATGCTTTAACTATTTACGCTTGCGATAAGTACTTTAACTATTTACCATTATTGCAATTCGATGCTAGAATTTTTTCCCGTAAAAAACTTTGTTCTCAAGACTCATTGTCTTGAAGGATTCATGACATTTTCATCTGGACTCACTTACTTGAAGCTTCTTAGCAACCAATATATCGCTACAGATATATTTTGTGTTTGCTGGGATTTATATTAAACTACCTGTTCGAATTTTTTATGTCGTCTGTTGGCATATATCATATCGACTTAGTTGCTGGCCAAATACTGCGTCGTTAACCGAGCGAAAATTTGTTGTTTGTGTATGCGTGTGTCGTGTTTTGAGGGTGAGTGGTTTTGATAATTTAAACTAGTCTTATACTTTTTTACTCTTTCTTTGTTCTTTTTTCATTTTTATTTTTTATTCGGCGTAACTAATTTTTGCCTATATTATATCGGCTTAGAGGCATCATGTTGCGCATTGGAGAAGCCACAAAGATTTTTTTGTGTGAAGTTTTAAGCTTTTTAATTTTTTATTCAGCTTTGTGTAAATATTTTTTTCGGCTTATTAAGATTCGGCTTATTTTTAAAGGCTTAGTGGCACCATATTGCATCGTTCGAAGACCGATAAATTTTTGTATGGGTTTGTTTGAGTGTAAAGGGGTCTTGATATTTTTTATATTGAGGCGAAGCTGAGTTTAGCACCACATGCGATTAAAATGTGAATGACTATGATTAAAATCAAACGGAAAAAAACTTTAAAAAAATTGTTTTTGTCAATAAAAATTGCAGCAAAGTCCAAAATATCCGGAAAAAATTTGACTGCACCATTAGAAACTCTACAAAAAGCTTTGGGAATGCTAAACAGAAATCATGTTTTCAAAGAAGTTCTTTCTGGGGGACTAAGCAGACAAAAAAGCAGTCAGCATTAATCTGAATAAGCCAAATTTTTTTTATTTGCAAAAAAAACAGGTGTAAACTGCTAAAATAATTGCAGTGAAAATTGTTTACAGCTAAAATAAACGATTCTCAGACATAGCAACGAAGCCGACAAAACATAAGCAGACAAATGTTAGGCCGAATTTTTTTTGATCCAGAACATTTACCGTTTGAAAAAAAAAACGTCCTGGTCAGATTAAAACACAGGACCTTTGCCGTCTCAGGCGTATTCGTTACCACTAGGCTTAGTGTGCAAGAGACACTACAAATTTTGAATTCATTTTGAAGCAAGGTACACCAGAAGTCCAAAGAGTCACGTTTTGGCTTTTTTGGTTCCCTTTTTTCGGCTCATTAAAATTTTGCGTTAACTATATCGGTTTTTGAGGAGCGACAATTTATTTATGTGGGTGTGTGTGTTTTTGAGGACGAGCGGACTTTATCACTTTAAGGTAGCCTTAAACTTTTTTGAATTTTGTTTTTTTTTCGATTTGGTAAAACTAAAAAACTAAAAAAAAAGCAATTGAATTTCTTAGAGACGAAATAAATTTTTCATAATAATTCGGACGTTTGTATTGTACAAAACGGAATTGTTTGATTAGGCAAATGCTTATCTAGAAAAATTTATTCAATAAAATGTTTAATTCAGCCATAAATTGAGTACTAAAATAGTAAACCTACAACGGAAATACACGTTACACAAAACTAAAATTACGCCTGCACTCGAACTATATCATACATGCGAGCTGCTTAAGCAAATCGACTTAAAGAGAAGCAAGAAGCACTTGCTACTTGCCTATGCTTTTTAAGGCTTGTTAGAATTGTTCCCCGTGTCACCCAACCCTGATTAGAAAGATAGGATCTTGTTAACTATCCCCCTATGGTACCTTGTAACAAATCTTCCTCCCCCTATAAAGAAAGAATTGAACAGTTAAGCAAATAGCAAATACGAATTTAGTTCCTTGTAAAGAACCACCCCCCCCCCCCCCCCCCCCCCCCCCCACCCCATTGCAATAGGATGGGGGGAATTTTAACAAGATCCGAAAGATAATTCTTGTCTCGAAATTATCAGAAAATGATTATCATTTAGTCAAATAACAAAGTTTTGCCTAATTCTTTTATAAGACCAAAAAGTAGCATGGAAGGAAACATGAAAGTTTCTGCCCTCGGATGGCAAAAAAGAGCATCGCGCAAACCAAATATTTAAATCTGGGAGCTGAGAAAGTAATAAAAATTGAAAAGTATAAATAGACTTTGATAGATCCTCTACGAGTCGCATAAACCACATCAAATATGATTATAATGAGTTTAAATCATGCGCAATATTCGACTGCATTTTTTTCGAAATCATTGTAATTCTCAACTTAACAGCAATAGGTTGTTGCTGAATAAGTAGTACAAAATGCTCCGGTTCTACTTGTTTAAGAAATTAAATTGAAAAAATGAAAAAAAAAAAGTATTTTTTAACTTCATTTTTTTCATTGTTTTAATAGTTTTTATTTGCAGAAGGTGACTAAATTAGACGAAAAACTGTACGAAAGAGAAACAAAAATCGCTAAACTTGTAGTAGTAAATAACGTTGAGATTTTACTATGGAGGCTTGCCACCCGCCTTCTGTCAAGTTTTTTAAATTTTTTTTCAAAAAACAATGATTGATAATCAAATCACAGCCAAGGGAACTGTTTTCTGATACCACATTTGGCCCAAAAAAAACTTGGTAGTCAAACTTGGCTGGAAACAAACTGAACCTAAGCCATAGTTCCTTCCAGAAACTGCGAGTGACATGGTCAGAAAAACAAGATAAACTCAAGAATTATGTACGAAAAACCAATTTTTTAAAGGCAACCTAAAATTAAGCATGATTGATACAAGGCTAACTATTTCTAATTTTTACAGAAAAAAAAAAGAAAAAAAATCGAAAAGTGATTGATTGCAAAGGCCAAGATGCTACTTTTATTGCAGTTTCAATTAGCGGCCAATATGTTTATTTTTAATACTTCTTCAACATATGTTGTCAATAGCTTCCCGTTTTAAAAAAAAGTATTTAAAAAAGTTCAATTCGGTCTCCACTTAGAACATTAGCTTTGAATTTTAAAAACACAATTTAAAAAAAAATCATTAGAGAATTTAAACAATCTGTCAAAATGTACCGAAGCGTGAAGTTAACATATTGCAATTATTGCGGAAACCGATATTTGGTTTTTGTTTTATTTTTCGCGACTTTCTTAATTTACAGCATTTTGAATCAAATAAAATTGATAGATCGAGGTTTCAAAAATCGGATTTTGAACCAAAAAATGCAAATTGAATCCACATACCCTCGCTTGGAAGTCAATGATTCTAATTGGTTCTCAAACTCAGTCCCGAAGTTTCATAAAGATTCATACTTTGCGTTTGTCGACTCTTTGGCTCTGCAGCTGGTGGCTGAATCAATTGAGTTCCGAGGATGTATAGCGAGAAACAACTATTGGAACGAAAACTTAGCACCAGTTATCTATTCTGACCCTATAGACTGTCCTTTATTCTGCCTTGGAAGAAGTTACTCGTATTTCAATCTGGCAGTTGATAACAAGCACTGTTTTTGTTCAAACAGTTCTTTTGGAGCTAATGATTGTGAAGCTGAACTTAAAAGGGATGATCTAAGTGCAGTTCTTTATCGCAGTTATGAGATCAAACCGAGAGCAAAACTATCTACGAAGGTAAACTAATTTTGATAAAAAAGTATACGGACTCAAACAAATGCCTAAGGCCACTGGGAATAGTTTAAACAGTAAAAAATGAAAAATTGAATTGAGCCTTTGTGTTCATCGGAAGTTTCACTTTGGCGATCTCTTCACTTATTGCAAAAAGGGGGAATTCGTTTGATAGGTACAAAATATTCATATTGAGTTAAATTCTTTTTGGTAATACTCATAGAGTAATTTCAGATAAGGTACACCGTCTGCTCGTCACGCTATCTTATTTTCGGCCGGATAGATTCGTGCAACTTCTTAGTCTAATACCAATCTTAATCTTACTCTTATATCTCCTAGTCTCAATAGATCTAGTGTATACTGGTTTACTACGAGTCGGTCTCTTGGAGAAGGCAACTAAGTTCTGTTTTTGGGGGTAAATTATACTGCTTCATTTATTGCAACTGGTTAAAATAAATTTATGATTCTAGAAAAAAAAATTCTGTTTTTTATTTTTTTTTTTTTTTGTAGATGATTGATGAAGACTAAAAAAAGAGAGAAAACATTTTTAAAGAATGGTTAGTTTGTGTTCTAATTTGTTAGTATAATTTATTTTTTTCATTTAACCTTATTCGTCTGGGAAGAATCCATGGTTTGTCTTCCGGGGTTTACAGAGTTTCAGTTCTTCAGTGTTCTTTTGTGGTGAAGGATGGATGATGGTATTTTTTTTAGAAGTTGTGAGCATATTCTTTTTTCCAATTAGGAAGAAGGATTGTTATCCGTTGCTCCAGGAAGCTGGAATCAACGATATGAACTTTTTCTTAAGCGATGGCTGTTTATCACGATCGTTTCGGGAGATCGAATCATGATTTCTGATCGGTCGTGATAAGGGTTGATTTGATTGATAAGAGAACAGCAATGCTCCAATCTCGTTCGGATATGGCATGAAGTTTGATTCCGGGTGAAGTGCCTGGTGACGTGGATCTTTACGTATACTTGAACATCGAGATGACCATTGTTCTGTTTCAATGGGTTTCCTTTGCTACGATGCCGAGTCGTACTTTGAATCCTTTGAGTGTAGTGACTGTAGGCAGCATATCGGGTGTGTTTTGCCATTCCGAAGTTGGATTGTGACTGGGTTGTCAAGTTCCTTGCTGCTCGTCTTTGTTTTGTAAGTAATCTATATACTGCATTGTATTATTTACAAATACAAATTTTTGTTAATTTTGTTTTTAGTTATGATCTTGTATTAATTTTTATCGCAGAAGCGTTTTGGTTTAGTTCGGTTATTTTTAAGAGCTACTCACCCTTAAATAACTCTCGTCAAAAATAGAGTGTGGGTCACAAAGCGTGGATGTAGCACGGTTTGTTAGGCCGGCTATAGACCATGCTCAGGACGTTCTCTCTGGTGAGTTAGGCCAGGAGTGGAGTTAAAATTCATACTCTCTTTTTTGGAGGGTCATTTTTCTGTTCAAACTTTTGTGCTTTTTTTATTTTTGGTTTTTCTTTTTTTATTTGTGTCCTTTTTTCGAAAAACAAATCGTTTGGTTTGGGTTTGTTTTTCGACTTTTTTGTGTTTTATTCGTTTTTGTTCAGACTTGAAAGTAGTCTTCAAAAGAATAATTTATCCAGTTCTAAGCTGGTTTTAATCCGGTTTGGGTACCGTGGATTTTCTTTTCTTAGTCATGCTGTTAGGTTGTGGCTTGTGGTGTTTAGTAAGCTGCGTTAGTTAGTTTTGATTATTGTATAATTCCTTTCCAACCGGGTTAAAGGAAAATGAAATGTGTTAAAACTAGTTAGAGTTGATAAGAGTGAAACTTAAAATTCAATTCATGATTTTAAACAATTCTACTTGGGCGAGCTGTACGATTGTGGATCGGATTGTGGGCGAGTAAATGGTTAAAATTATAAAGGAGCGTCTTTGAAAAAGGTTAGTACTGCTTTATTTTCATAGGCAACTTTTATTAATTTACTACTTTGAAAATATTAATTTTACGGCTTCTTGGATGTTGAAATTATCAATTTATTTTCATTGTAAGAATATTTACTGCATATGGGAAAAGAATTTGTTTATCATTTTATTGCTGTTTTTGGGGGTAAATTTTACTGCTTCATTTATTGCAACTGGTTAAAATAAATTTATGATTCTTGAAAAAAAGTTTCTGTTTTTCATTTTGTTTTTCTTTTTTGTAGATGATTGATGAAGACTAAAAAAAGAGAGAAAACATTTTCAAAAAAAAGGTTAGTTTATGTTCTAATTTGTTAGCATAATTTATTTATTTCATATTAACTTATTCGTCTGGGAAGAATCCATAGTGAAAAAATCGTGGATGATTTCTGATGATGTTAGCAATTTTGCTAACATGCGACTGATGTATTTACTTTGGAGAAGTAGCCAAAGCAGTTCTAGTGCTTTAATGATTTTGTGCTCTCCAGAGCCAGGTGAGAATTCGAATGGAGTATTTTGAATGAGGTACTAAATTTTGTGATTATATCTGGTGTTATGGATGAATTCTAGGATCCGAATTTCAACGGGCTGTAGGAATTCGTGTGGGTCGATTAGGGGGCGTGATTCGTCTACGTTGAAGGTTCATATACAGGGACAGAATATATACATCTGGGTAATGGGGTAATAATTGCGGAAAATGCCTTGGAAGTTAGTATCTTTAATACAATAAGTGAAGTTAAGAAAGAATGGTGAGGTATATTTGGAGTTAATGTAATATATCTGTGGTGAAATTGTCGTGCTGGTATATTATGAGTGCAATGACTTTGAATAAATTTATATTAAGTATAAGCGTGTGTCTGTTTGGTTTGTAACATGATGTCGTATGAACAGTGCAGATCACGTTCTTTGGGTGAGAGGAAATGATTTTAGAGAAGTAGGAAATGATTAGTGAGAAGATATTAAATTTCTTAAAATATGAATCATAAGCTTGAATATCACAAAGTGCTTCTAAAGTTGGTCGTTTTTTAATCTGAAGTTTTGAGGGTGAAAACGTATGGTGTTTTAATGAAGAAATTTTCTGTTAGTTGTGGGTTAGCAAATTTATTGTCGTTCAGAAAGTTGTCTTCGTTTGGTCTAATGATGTGATGGTCGTAGTGATCGATGGAATATTCATTAGCTTTAGGTGCGGTGAATCTGGGAAATGATTGGTTATATCCGATTTTTAAGATTTGTCTCGGAGTGAATGATGTTGTTAAAATGTAGAGTTGAGTGCTGCAATAATCGTTATCATATGGGGTGTTATATAGTGGTGGTGATAGTGGATTAGTACAGTGATAGAATGATGTCCATGAAAGTGTTGGGTATAATACATGCTCATCAACATATTTAGGGTGTTCGTCATTAGGGTCTGAATAAAATTAGGTATATTGGGGAAAAAGGCTAAACATACTTGAAGGAATTCTTTAGTGTTAGTGTGGAGTGGGTGATTGACAAATGTTCGGGCTGTTCCTGGGTGAGAGGGAAATGGAGTATTGGGGAATTTTTCTTTGAAGGTTCGATAGGCTCGGTTTGTACTGGATGAGGATGGATTTGACGAAGAAATTGGGTGTGGTGAAGGAGTGTAATTTAAAGAGAGAGTTGGAGTTATGGATTGATGATATTTTGGATTGTGAGAGTTGGTGAATGGTTAGTGTTTGAGGGTGCTGTAATTGTTGCTGAAATGTAAAAAAATTGTCAAGTTTATGAGATATTTGTGTATTTACAGAGCTGTTGTTGTCGGAAGGTTCACTGGTCAAGGAGGAAAATGTGTATGTTACATTTGAAATAGAAGAGGGAGTTGAAAGAGTTTCAGTTCTGATTTGGGAGTGAAGGGGTTTAAAAGGGGGTTGGGAAAAAGAAGATGGGCTGGGTTCGGAATTGTCAAATTTGTCAGGGGTCTCGAGATTTGAGTTATTAAAATGGGAAATAGTTTTATATACAGTGGTGTTTAAATTAGTATCTGAATCCATGCCGGATGAAGTGCTATCATGAGGTGATTCAGGTGCGGGGAAAGCAAAAAATGGTATGACGGGGAGGTTGCTTTGAAGGTTGTTTGGGTAGGAAATTGAGCGATTGAGTGATCCAACTTGGCGGCTTACCGTAGGCTAAAAAGATGGTTGTTCTGAGAACGAAACTTGGTGGTGTGTAGTTGTTCTACAATTTGCTCGTATGTGTCTTCTATATTAGATTGTTGGGTTATTAGGTGTTGAATTGGGCTTTGTGGGTAATTAGGTCTTGAAGACATGAGGCCTGTCAGGGCTATGTTTCTGAAATTTCGTAGTACTAATGATAAAGGATGGTTATGGTTCAGGCTTTGTAATTGTGGTGCCGTAGGCGTTGTTTTTGTATTGTTTTGTGAATCGTTATTTGTATTCGGTGTTGTATTCTTTTTTTTGATGTTCTAAAATTATTTTGTTTTTTGATGTAGAGAAAATTCCGAAAAATCCCGCGAAAAGTATGCGTGCTAGGCTTGCTTGTTTGTTTACTTGCGTAGGTATTGCGCATGTAATGTAGATTCCTTTTAGTACAGAGAAAAGAAATCCAAGAAAGTTAAACATTGCGTAAAATATAGTCAATTTTTCTAAGATATAGTAGGGCCATCCTAGAAAGGCAAGAAATTTGTTTTTCAAATTGACAAAACTAAAAATATTAACTGGTGATGTATCTTGTGGTCTGTAGTTTTCGCCCTTTAAAAAATGTAATCTTTCATATCTTTAAAATATCCGCTGTAGTCTTGTGCGTAGATGTCGGAAAAGCCTGCTGTTTCAGCAAGTTTACGTAAGTTTTGATCTATGGATTACCGTTGTATTGTGTCCATTTTTGTGATTAAATCTTGAAATTGTTGTGTACGGATGTGATGTTGAATGTCGCATTTAGAGTATATGCCGATCGATTGTAAATCGATATTTGGATTTCGGGCAATAGCTCTAATGCTTTCTGGTGAAAACTTTTTTAATGGTAGCATGAGTGTAGGGTATGGTGTGAGAAGGTAGTATTTATCTTCGTCAGGAATCAATTGTATTACATTGTGGCTGTTTTC